CCTTTGACATCCTCTTTCTCAGAATAACACGTATGAATGCAAGAGAGAACCCGTATGGGGCTACAGGGAAAACCAGAAGTAAGTGTTGCAATACTTATCAGAGCGTTATTTTAAAACGTTTGATCTAGTAATTAGCATGCTGTTGCCTGTGGGCCTGTGGGCGCCTTAACTAGGGACACCTGGTGGCAGCCGTCCTGCCGACTTCTTGGGAGCAGAGAGGAGAGCCGGGCAGCTCCAGGCGTCTGCCTTGCTCTAGGGCCTGGGGGAGCTCGGGAGCTCTGGCATACATTTCGCAGAGAGGTTGAAGACGGGGAAGTTGATGATTTTCCCCGCATCAGGTTCACAGAGCCCTGGCATCTGTCCTTGGGCCCTGCGGCAGGACCTCCCGGACCCTGCTCCATTGTCTCGGGGACTGCAAAGCCTGCCCCTGCTTTGCCCGCCCCCTTGCCTCGCCCCCAGTCTCCTGGGGCAGCCTTCCTGGGGGTCTGGGGACGAAGGCAGGCATCCTGACCGCGAAATTGTGGGTGAAATGCCCTAGCCAGTCATTGTGAGTCCCCTAGCGAGGTCATAGAGCAGGGAGGCTCCCCCATCACCCCCAGGCTCAGCTGGAAGCCTCCTGCTGGCCTGGCAGAAAGCTGGCATTTCCTGCCCCGTGGGCCGAGCTCAGAGCTCAGCAGGGGTCAGAGAGTGACAGCCATGCTTCCTCCCTGAAGGGGCCGCCCTGCTGTGAGCAGTCAATAAGGGAGTAAGGTGGAGCCACCCTGTTCCCAAGCCATGGGGCCTCTCATTTGACACATGGGGAAACTGAGGCCCAGAGGAGACAGAGACAGTGGCAGTCTCATGGTGAGCTGAAGCTGGAGTGGTCTTGGGTGGGCTACAGTGCTGCCTGCCGTCTTGTGATGCAGACTTTAAGGGCTCTGGAGCCCTGGGCCACAAGGGACAGAATCCTACTCCCCAGTCCCTTAGCTTTCGCCAGGAACCTGGTCCTGTGCTGAGGCCGCTCAACGCAGTCAGACCCGTGTTTTACCCTCAGGGGACCCCTGGCCTGGTGGACGGACTCAGATAGACGGACTGCACGCAGTGTGGCCTGGTCCAGGACAGAGGGAAGCATAAGAGATGGGGCTTGGAAATGGGTGTTGAAGGATGCATAGGAGTTTGAGGGAGAATGGGGAAGGGAGAGCCTTGGGTAGTGTCTGTCATATGGCAAGGCAAGGGGTGGGAAGCCTTTCCTCTGACTGCCAGTGATGAAGAGGAGGCTGCTGTGCGTCCTGGAGCTCCATCCCCACCGCTCTCCCCTGGCCCAGCCTCAAGGCCTTCACGGCTGCACTCCCCCTTCATGGACTACCCTCTTCCCTCAGTCTCCTCCCCAGCTCTTGAGGAGATGCCGCCTCCTCAGCGTCTTCCCTGACCTCTGGAATGGCCTGCACCCGTCTCTGGATTAACTCAAGTTTTTTTTGTTTTTTTTTCCTGGCATGTTTTTTTTTGGTCTGTCTTGCCCAGCACCCCGTGGCCCCCAAGCACGATGTCAGCGCATAACAGAGGCTGGGCAGACGCCGCTGATGGAGTGAGTCGATGCCGAGCATGACTCTGGCAGCAGGGCCAGGCCACAGCACGCTCACGGATCTGAGCTGTAAATGGGGCCTGGGGCAGAGTGATCGGCCTTCTGGAAAGAACCTACCCTCTTTTCCCGGACTCCACGTCTCCGAGGTCAGCCTCCTGCCCATGCTAAGGTGAACCCCAGAGCCCTTAGAGTCTGTCAGGCCCTCCCAGGGAACCTTCTATACCTGAAATAAGGCCAGATTGACAAAATAGGGAACCAGAAAAAAGGAAGCTAAGAACACAACCGTCACGTGCTCTCCGACAGAGAGCAGTCGGTTACGGGGAGGGGGGGCGCTGAGGCCCTAATCCTGGCTGGCCCTTTGTGAAGAAATAAATGCAGCCCCCAAGCTGGGGCCTTCCTTGCTAGGACCAAGACAGCCCTGGAGGGCTCACTGGAGGGCTGGTGGCTGGAGTACAGAGGGACTGAGGCAGGGCACCTGGATGCCAGGTCCTGCTCTCGGTCAGACTGGTGACCTTGGGCATGGCTCCTCTCTGTAACTCATTTCTTCCTCTCAAAGAAGCTTGGGCCACTCCACCTGGGACTTCTCTGATGCAGGGAGCAGAAACCAGGTACTGGGTCCTAGGAGCTCAAGAAACATGCTAGGAGCACTCACAGAGGAGCAAGGGACTTGGAGAAATCTTGGAAGGCTTCATGGAGGAGGCATCCTTTGAGCCTGAAGGAGGCATTGTGTTCCGAGAGGCAGACAAAGGCATTCCATGGTGAGGGACCAGCTCAGGCTGAGGCTCTGAGGTGTGGGGCATTCCAGAGACATTGGGAGCCCAACCTTAGTTCTCTGCTCACTCCAACTGTGTCCTTTTTTCTTATTGATTTATAAGAACTCTTTATATATTAAGCACATGGATCCTTTTTAATAACAAACACTTATTTATCTTTTGTTTTCCTTATGGGTTTTGACAACATCATACGTATTTTTATGTTGGCAAATGTTCCAGCCTTTCCTTTGGTGGTCTTTCTGGTCCCAGGCTGCCTCTTGTGTCCTTACCTTGGGTCCTTGCTCTCCTGTGCATAAGCCGGCTGCTCAGGACATGTATGAGACCCACATTAAGTGGAAGCTGGAAAATTTACAGCTGTGTAAAAACCAGAAGCGATGTGCCTTTGCTGACTTGTGCCTCCCTGGGGGGTTCCTGCCCATCATTCCTTTTTGCCTGGAGTGGTGTCCAGCTGAGGCCCTAAAGGGGCCTGTGACTCTGCAGGGTGAGGCAGGGGCTCATAGCTGTGTTGAGGGGGAGGGTGGGGACAGGGAGTTCCCAGCTGGCTGGCCAGTCTCCATGTATTCACTCATGGAAACCCCATCGCAACCCCATGAGACAGGTGCTATGATTAGTTCCATTTTACAGGTGAGAAGACTGCAGTTCAGAGAGGTTATGTGGCTTGCCCAAGGCCACACAGGAAGCGATGGAGACAGGATTTGAATTCAGGCCTTGTTGCCCCAGAACTCTTCCAGTTTCAAGCTCTCTTATGGCCCTTGGGCTCCCCATTGCCTTTGGGATCAAGTCCAGGCTTGTTAACGTGACATCTGAGGCCTACTGGGGCCACTGTTTCTTCATCTGCCAAGGCGCCGCCTTGGGCTCTGGACGTGCACATGCTCCCCTGCCCTGATATGATGGTGCCAAGGCTGTGCCCCTCTCTTCACAGCCTCCCCGCAAACCCCAAATGGTTTAGATCCTGCAAGGGAGGGCTGGCAGGGCTTCTGTGGAGCAGCCGGGTCCGCCCCTGGTTTGCAGTCAGGGTGGGCCTTGCCCAAGGCCCAGTGCCTGGGGAGTGGAGCTGGAATCTGCACCCAGACTGCGGGACTCTGGTGCTCCCCACGACGCCCCGGGGTGACCCGAGCTGCTCTTGGCTGTGTCACTGTGCTACGGTCGGTCGGCTGGTCGCAGGGAGGATTCTCTCCCCTCTGGCTCGCTGCCTCCTGCTGGCAGATACCCCTCTAGGAAGCACGCCTCCCGCCACTGGGTTACACGCCTGCCCTGGGCTCCCCAGGGCCCGGTGAGTTGTGACTGCTGACTTCTCACCGTCTGCCCCCGAAAGGCAGGGTTCCCCATGAAGGAAGGCGCCCAGTGCTTCCCCCTCGAGTCCTTGGTGCCCAGCAAGGACTTAAAGAGGGAGACCCAGAGAGGGGCGGAGCCCTGCCCCAGGTCACACAGCAAGGTGGGGAAGAACCAGGAGCCCCAGGAGGGCCCCAAGACCCTCCAGGTCACCCCTTCCTGGGACTTCATGGAGCCCAGGGAAGGGGCAGTGTCTGCGACGGTCACCCCAGCAGAGGGCGCTGCTGGAGGGCCTCTGTTCTCTGCTTCTCCCAGGGGCCTGGGGCCAAGGACACCCTCTCCCGCCTGCTCCCGCCCTCTGTGAAGGGTGTCCTCAAGATAAAAATACCGTCAGAAACATCCGCTGCCGTCGGTGTGAGCGCTGTCCACCCTGCGGGGCCGGAACCTTCTGACCTGGCCTCACCTCGGGCTCGAGGGTGGACGTCGGCCTTTTCTGGCCACCTGGTGCAGCCTCTTCTTGGAGTTGACATGTCCGGCCCCCATTTCCACGCCACAGAATGTGAGGGGCCCATGGGGTCAGGGTCACTCCAGGTTCCTGCGGCCACCGCTTTCTGAGCACCCTCTGTGGGCCGGGCTGGAGCAGCGAGGCTGGCCCTGCTCCGGGGGCTGATGTGTCTTGTGGTTCCTCGCGGGCCAGGGGGCTTCTGAGGACATACGGCAGCCACAGGGAGCCTCGGGCACAGCCAGCTTTCCGTCCTGTTGGGAAGGCTGTTTCTGCTCTCGTGCCTGAGTGGCGTCGGGAACGCCGGTCTCAGTGAGTGCCAGCAGGACCCGCACTGCTGCGCCGCCTCCGTGGGCAGACACCGAGGCCAGGGCGGGCCTCACCCTCACGACAGTCTCCTGAGGTGCGTGGGGTCTCCTCGTTTTGCAGATGGGGAGTCTCAGGTCTCAGTGGACTGGGCGGCTGCCAGGCCCCTCCAGGGAGGGTGACAGCTGCCACCTCTCAGAGACCTGCTGGTGCCAGGCCCAGTGCCCGGCCTGCACCTTCATCACCAGCTTCTGTCTCATCGTCTGGGAGGCCTGGCAGGTGTTGCCAGCCTCATGTTTCAGGGGAAGCTGAGCCTCAGGAAGGGGAAGTGCCTGCCCTGTCCCGTGGGTGGTTTCGGCCCCAGCCCCAGCCTAGGCCCTGCCCTCCCCTGCGGGAGGCTGTGGGCCAGCCTGGCCTGTTGGCCCTCAGTCCTGGTTGTGGGGAAGCACCGCTCCCACATCCCACCTCCCCACCCAGGACTGTGACCGTGACCCCGGAAAACATTTGTGGGACTTGGCAGGGTGAGCTCACATGGTGGCTGCCGTGGCCCCTGCAGGTGGCGGGAGCGCTGGCCAGGGCATCCGGAAGGCTGGCTCCTGTTTGCAGAGTCCTCATTCACCCTGTGACTTCGGCAAGTCGCTTCTCTGCTCCACGTCTCAGTACCCCGTGTGTCAAGTGGAGCTAATTTTGCCTTCTTCCTAGATAAGAACACATCCAGCTGGATTTGTGGTCTGGGAATGCCCCTTCCAGGTAGTAGGGAGTGAGGGACGAGGTTGGGAGAGCCTAGGGCAGGCCAGGTGACCAGCAGGAGGTGGGGAGACGCTGCCGCCCACGCTTCTGGCCCCCATCCCTGCTTGGCTCCCCATGACCCTGTGGCAATATCCCACCTCCACTGCTCAGAGTTCTAGCTCCAGGTGACTGGGGCAGGTGACTTAGTTTCTCTCAGCTTCAGTTTCCCTGTCTGTCTAGAGGGGAGAATCGTCCCTCTTCCAAGGCAGGGCTGTGAGCGTCGGGATGACTAGCCAGCTGCTGAGTGTGCAGGGTCCGGCACAGTGTGGGCCCACTCGGGGAAGGGCACGGACCCAAGTCCCTGCCGTGGAGGTTCCCAGCTGTGTGACATTGGCTTGTGACGGAACATCTCTGAACCTCTATGTCCCCATCAGTTTTTAGAGTGGAATGGCGAGAAGCAAAGTGCGGGCCTGTGGCATCTACTTTCAGCATGAGGGATAGGGAAGAAGGGGCTGGGGACCAGGGGACTTGGAGGTGAAGAGGGACTGAAGGGCTACTAGAGACCAGGTCATCCCCTTTCAGAGCAAGCTGAGAGAGGGGAAGTGACTCACCCAAGGTCACGCAGCTTATGAGGGGCAGAGCTGGGATTTGAATCCAAGTCTGTGTGCCTTTAAACCTCTGTCACCTGTCCCAGGAGCCCATGAGGTGCAGGTGACTCACCAACAGTTTCCTTAATCCCAGCCAGAAAAACCAGTGTGACAATCCTGCCTTGGCTGTAACCTTGGAAAGGGCAGGCCCCATGAACTCCCTAGCTGGGAGGTGGGGAGGCCAGAAGCAGGTCAGGAGACTCACCTCTGGGTATCCCCAGAGCCCCTGCCCACCCCACACTCCTCTGATTCTCATGGCACACTGGACAGGAAGGCAGGGGTCCCCTTCGACAGGTGCGGAAATTGCATCTTGGGAATTGCAGGGACCAGGTAGGATGTGTGTGTGCCCAAGGCAAGTCTCTGGCAAATTACTGATGTGTGCCCATCCATGTAGTTAGCCATGCGCCCACCCGCTCATCCATCAAGTCATCTATCCCACTCGCCCAAACACCGTATCCACCCATCTGCCCACTCATCACCCATCCTCACACCCATCCACCCACCTGTCTACCCATTCATCCATCCCTCTATTCATTCATTTATCCATCCACCCATCCACTCATTCATTCACCCATCTACCTATCCAACCATCCATCCATCCACCCAACCATCCATCCATCTACCCACCCATCACCCATCCATCCATCCGTCCATCCATCCATTCACCCATCTATCTATACGTATACCCACCCACCCATCCACCCACCCATCCATCCATCCACCCAACCATCCATCCATCCACCCACCTACCCACCCACTCATCTATCTCTCCATTCATTTCTCCACTCACCCATACACTCATCTATCCATCCATCCATCCATCTATCCATCTACTCACCCATCCACCCACCCATCCACTCACCCATCCATTCACCCATTTATCCATCCACACACCCATCCATTCACCCATCTATCTTTCCATCCACCCATCCTTCCCTCTATCCATTCATTTCTCTACCCACCCATACACACATCCACCTGTCCATCCACCCATCCACTCATCCACTTAGTCACTCACCCATCCATCACCCAACAATCCATCCATCCATCCACCCATTCCCCATTCATGCATTAATCCATACATCCACCCACTTACCCATCTACCCAGCCATCCATCCCTCTATCCATTCATTTCTCCACCCACCCATCCACTCATTCACTCACCCATCCATCCACTCAATCATCCATCCATCCATCCATCCATCCATCCATCCATCCATCCATCCCATTCATCTACCCATCCATCCACCCACCATTACCATTCATCCACCCATCTACTCACAGATTACCCATCTGTCCATCCATCCATCCATCCATCCCTCCATTCCTTCATCTAGCTATCCACTCAGTCACCCACCCATCTACCCTTCATTCATTGATCCATCTATCCATCCAGCTATCTACCTTCACAGTTATCCATCCGTCTGTTCCTCCATTCATCCCTCCCTCCCTTAATCCATCCATTCTTCTATCCATTCATCCACTCATCCATTCACCCATTCACCCACTCATCCATTCTCTCATCCAACCAGACATCCACCCTCACACCCAACCACTCATTCACACATCCATCCACCCACCCACCCATGTATTCATTCGTTCATCCATGTATTCATCCACCTACCCATTCATCCCTGCATCCATTTATCCACCCACCCATCCATCATTCATCCTTCCATCCACCCACCCATTCATTCATCCACCCACCCAGTTATTCACAACTGACTCCAGGGTTGGTGTTGGGAAGCCTCTGCAGGTGGTGGCTAGGAGTACAGGCTGAAGGCTTGAATTCCCTCGTGATTGTAGGAGAATTACCACATTACCCACTTCTCTGGAAGAGTCCCAACCTTGTGGGATTGTGAGGATTATGTGAGATGATGTATGTAAAATGCCTGCTATAGTGTCTGGCATACTGTAGGCACTCACTAATTGTCAGCTGTTATTTTTCCCTGACACCCCATCTTGTTCTGCCCTTCTCTGGTTCTGGATGGTTGCTATGCTGTGAAGGTGTGGGGTCTCAAAGGTGCAGGCCAGAGGCCCCTCCACCTTGTGGGGCCCTGGGGAAGTGAGCAGAAATGTGTGTTCATGTGGTTACATCTTACTTGTGAGCTCCTCTGAGAAGAGCAGCACCGCCTGCAGTAACTTGGCTTTACTCTGTTAACTTTAGGGTGTTCTAGTGACTGGATCCTCTCCAGCTGGTGCCTGGAAAATGGCAGCCACTGCTAACTCAGCCTTGAAGACAGTACTTTGCCCACTCAGCACCATTACGTAGAAGGCAGAACTCAAGAGGTAAGAGAGAAGTCACTGAGGTGCTCCTGTGCATCTAGGCGTTCCTCCCACCAGACTCACCTGCACACCCTCCACCCCTCCAGCCACCATGCCATCTGTTCATCACCCATTCCCCACCCATTCATCTGCTCAGCCCTCCACCCACCCACCCTTCCACCCGCCAAGCCAGTCCCTCTATCTGGCCACCCCTGTTGTCCACCCACCCATCTGTCAACCCGATTTATCCACCCACCTGCCGGGCCACCCACCTGTTGATTCAGTCACCCTTCCACCCATCTCCTCATCCATCCCATTCAGCTGCTTAGTCCTTCACCCTTCATCTGGCTAGGGGGCATTTGCTGGGTGCCCCTCTTTACTAGGACCTGCATCAGCCTCTCTGGACCTCTGAGCTTAGTCAGAGGTGGCACCTGGGCAAGATCAACTCTCACACAACATGGGAAGTAGCTTCTGGCCTGAACAGGAAAAGCCCAGTGATATGGGATCATAAAGGGTTTCATGGAGGAGGAAGGGGAGGAGGAGGAGGGGAAGAAGGAGAAGGAGGAAGGGAGGGAGGAGAAGGGGGAGGAGGTGCAGGGGGAGGAGAGGGAAGGGGAGGAGGGGGAGGAGAAGCGGGGAGGGGAAGGGACGGAAGAGAGGAGGAGAAGGGGGAGGAGGAGACTTGGTGTTGTGGGCATCCGGGAATGGGGGCCAGGGTTCAGGAGCCTTTGATGTGGGGAGGCCACCGGAAACCCTGTGAGGAAGACCCAGGAGACAAAGCTTCCGGTGCGAGTGGTTTCCTGGGAAGAGATCCCAGGAAGTCAGGAAATGAGGTGAGAAAGAGAAGGAGGTAATAAATGGCGTGCCATAGATACAGTTACTGCTGGGGCGCTGGCACCCACTCCGGCTGGGGAGGCCAGGGAGGTGGCACCCACGCTTGGCCACCCCTCCCAGGGGCAGCTTTCTGGGGCCCAGTCACCTGCTCCCGTCTGTCACTGATCGAAAACTGTCCTGGCAGCATCAGCCCCCCTGCCCTCTGAGTGGCAGAGCGTGCCCATGGCTAGAGAGAGCTTCTGGGCAGAAAGACACTGTGGTTGGTGTAGGAATTGAGACAGGTGGGCCTGAGGCGGTAAGGGCCTGGGATACGAGTGGGGCACCCACCATCCCATGCCCGGCACACAAGGACACGTTGCTGCTGCGTCTCTCCTTGGGCCTAGCCTAAATTTGGCATAGGCAGTTGGCATGGCATTGGACCGAGATGTTTGCGGGCCATGGATGAGCTTGGTGGGCAGAGGCCAGCTGAGCCTCTGGTGGGGAAGTTTGGCCTGGAAAGGGGATGGGCACAAAAGGTCATCATCTTTTCAGATTATGAGACCTAGGAATGCTGCCCCCCACTCTCCCCCTCCACATCAGCCTGGGCTCTCCCTAGTCCAGCCAAGCTCCCTCACTGCCACCAGGGTGCCCAGCACATCCTTGCCTCCCACTCTTGGCTCTGGCATTGCCCCCCGGGAGTGCCCCTCCTGGTTGCCCATGCCCAGCCTGGCCTTGATGTGGTCCTACACCCTGGGCAGGGCCTGGCCCTGCCTCTCATGCCCTATGTGTTGGAGCAAAGGCATTGGCCCAGAGCCTCAGTCTCCCCATCTGCAAAGGAAGGGCTGGGCTTTCCTGGCCCCTGTGCTGCATCTGTTGAATGCTGACTGGATTAGGGAAGAGTCCAAGCTGTCCTGGACGCAGTGGGTGAAGCCCTGTGGCTGAGGAGTGGTGCTTGGCTGGGTGAGGCTGGAGCAGGTGCCTTGGGCGGCAGGAGTGGGGGGCAGGGTGCTGGGGGCGTGACGTGCACCAGTCTTCCCTGCACTGAGTGATCGTGGAGGGGTCTTCCAATGGCGCAGCTTGATCACGAGGTAGAGTGCCCTGTCTCCAAATGAGGCTGAATGGCTGTGGGCTGGAGTGGCAGTGAGGGCCCTTGAACCTGTGCTTCGGAGCGCTGGTTTGCGGCAGCCTCCGTCTCATCCCCGCCTGGATTGCAGAGGCTTGCAACCAAAAGGATTGCAGTGCCACGCACACAGTCAGGCCTCGAGTCTTGGGGTTGCGGGGCACTGGTTTTGCCCTCAAAGCCCAGCCTGGAAGCTTCACTCCTGAAAGGCTGTGTGACCCTCACAGTGACTCAATCTTTCTGAGCTTCCGTTTGCTCATCTGGAAAATGGGGATGATAGTCACAGTGTGATGGCAGGGATGAAATGAGTCCGTTTATTAAAGCTCTTAGAAGAGCACCTGGCAGGTAGTTAGCACTTGGCAGATACTGAGCGCTGTGCTGGTGTCTCGGGAGGTGCCCAGCTGGACGGTCTCTGCGTGGCGGCTGGGGGCGTTGGCACCTCCTACTCTGAGTCCCTGTGTCAGCCTGGGTGGTGCAGGCCCCTGCACTCTCCCTTCCTGTTGGTGCTTTCTTGGTGTCTGGGAATGTGGGTCCAGGCCTTGCCCTGGACTCCTCCCGGATGTCACAGAAACCCGAGAAGCCCAGGGCCTCAGGGCAGTGGGCATGGGGCGTCCAGCTTTATCCGGAAGCACCTCCCAGTGACTCCTGGACCCCACCCTTAGGACATGTGGCAGCTGCCATCTGGCATCCTCTCTAAAAGCTCCCAGCCCAGGCCCTGGTCTGTTCTTCAAGTGGCCTGGTCGCCGGGAGGCTGTGTCTGTAGGCACTGTGGCCAGCAGGAAGGCAGGCTAGCAAGGCGGCCGGGCTGGGACCAGCTTTGCCATCTCCGGGGTCTGCCGGGTCTGCGCTGTCTCCCCACTGCCTGCTCTCTGCCTGCTGGGCTTGATTCGCCGCCCCTTGGTGTTGAAACCGCCTTGTCTAGCTCAGGTAGTGTACCCCAGCGCCCCTCTCTCATTCCCCTCCCGGCGACCCTGGGCCCCTGGTGGGCCAACCTGGGCGTCTGCGGAAGACTGTCCTAATTTTAGTAGTGAGCACCTCGTTCTGGCCCTTGAATTGCTTTGTGGCCCAGGACAAGTCTCCTTTTCTCTTTTGGACTTGGTTCTCCCATCTGTGAAATGGGGAGCTGGCCTCTGCTAAGGCCTCTTCCAGCAAAACAAATTCTCTGAGATGTCGTGTCTTGTCCGATTTCACTGTATGCACCCCACTGAGCAAGAGCCAGAAGGGCCTGTGTGTCCCTGGTGGAGGATATTGTCCCATGTTTCTTAAATTGCATCCTTAAAGGCCGCATGGTTGCGTAATTTCTTGCCACACCTGTGTTTATGCGGGAGTGTTCTTGGGACATTGTTTTGCTTGTGGTGCTGGGGTTTCTATGCCAGGGTCCCCTTCTGGGTCTGTCTTTGTGGTGCTGTATTCACCAAGTGCCCAGTGAGGGGGCTCCCAGCGTCCCGGGGAGGGGCTCTCCCTCACACACACGGGCACACACAGCAGAGCAGAGCCGTGAGAGGCTCAGGACTGACACTCTAGGCTCCAACTCTGTCTCTTCCTGGGACAGGTGACTTTGATCCAAGTCAATTTTGGGCTTTGAGAAATTAAGGAGTGGGGCGTGAACTTGACCTTGTTGATGAGTGTCAACAGAAGTGGGGTTTCCAAGCCTGTATGACACCGTCTGGGCAGGTCCTGGGTGCCCAGCCCTGGTATAGATGCCAGGAGTCGTGGCAGCACCCTCACCAGCCTGGTAGCTGGCCAGTTTCGAGGCCGCCTGCTGCTTGGAACATGTGCGGACCGAGCTCTCCGGCCTTTGATTCTTGTGATTCTGTTCCTTGCAGGCCTCGAGCTGCTCAGAGCACGGGCTGGAGCGGCCATGACCCGCTGGACATCCCTCAAGGCCCTGGGGCCACACAAATCCAGCCCCTGCCAGCTGGTGGCCTCACGCCGGCGTCTGAGTGCCCCGGCCCTGGCTGCCTCCCTCTGGAGGGTCCAGGAATCTGGGGCTGAGCCCCCTTCCCAGCACAGCCTCACGGGTGCTCCCTGCCGCCGGCTCCCTACTTCCTGGCCCAGGCAGAAGCAGTGCCCGCCATTCCAGCCCTGGGTCCCAGCTCCTCAGAATCATGGTGAGGCGGTCGGCCGCAGCGGCGTTGGGGCAGGACCGCAGGGTGAGGAAAGGCGTCCCCTGCAGAGCCTGGGGGCCCATGGTGGGAGACTGTGCTGGAGGTGGTTTAAATCTCAGCTCTCCTGCTTTGTGGCTGTGTGGCCTGGGGGGAGTCACTTTACCTCTCTGAACCTAGATGGTGGGTGCACCCCTGGGTTGTTGAGAGAATGAACTGGGAGCAGCTGCTAATGGGTCTGCCCCACGAGGCGCCTGGGACCCTGCCTGCTCTCCCTGGGTCTCTCTTAGGCGGCAGTTGCTGAGTGCTGCTTGGACCGCCGGCGCGGGGCCCAGTGACCGGGGCAGCGCCTGGGAGTGTTCCATAGCCTGGCTGGGCAGGTGGCTCCACCTTCACCGTCGCTCGGGTGTTTGGAGTAGAGGTCAGAGGCTGCACCCACTCTGCAGCCCAGAATAGTGTGGCCGTGGCCGTGGACGTGGCCAGAAACCCGGCCACGCAGACAGGGGCCGAATCCCGGCACTACTGCCTCCTGCCCAGGGGACTGGGGCACGTCCACTCTGGCTTCTGAGCCTCCAGGTCCTTGTTTGTAAAGCAGGGTAGCCCACCCCTCCCTGGAGGGCCTGAGGGCTGCAGACGGCTGTGTGTGCCGCCCGGCCCGCGGTGGTCTCAGCCCCCCAGGACCTTCTCTTGGGGCCTCAGTGTCTTCGTAACTGAGTAACGTGGTTGCAGGTGTGCCAGGGACAAAGCTCTGTGTAGCTCTGAGGTCACAGTGTGACAGGACTGGGACTTGGGGTGCAGGGTCCCCGTGGGTGGGGAGGGGTGGGCCTGTCCAGCTCCTCAGTGCGGCGCTGATGCTGGAAGGCCCAGGTCTCCCTGCTTCCAGCCTAGCCCAGCCGAGGCAGGCTGCCATCCAGATACGGCTGCGGGCCAGGCAGTGCCATACCACACGCTTGCAGATGCCTTGGCCTGGCACCGACAGGCCAGCGTGGGGCCTGTAGTGGGGGCAGCGCAGTCTGTGTGTCCTCGGGGTGGGCACGTTGGCGGCTGAGAGCCGGCTTTGTTCTGGCTGGCATGGGCGCCCTGCTGTGGGGCCTGCCTTGGGGTGGCCCTGTGTGCATGAGTGTGTGGTAGGCTGGCCCTGAGCCAGGTGCTGCCTGCAGTGAGCTGAGGACAGTGCTGGGAACAGGTGACACCCCTGAGCGCTGTCCAGGTGCCCGGTGATGGCCTTGAAATCTTCCTTAGAGACACGAGAGGCAGGGGCTATGGAGGGCCCTTGGCTGAGGTCAGCCAGGGAGACACCCACATTTGGGTGCCAGGTCTTGCCCTCCTTGGCACTGCCAGTGACCAAGAGGCTGCAAGCATGGCATGTGGGTGGACATTGCGGGGTGGGGCGTGTGGGTGTCCGGGGGGTGGTGGAACCCAGTTTGAGGTGTTCAAAGTGGGTGGCGACAGGGGTGGCCGGCCCTGTTCTAGGCCCTGGGAGGGACAACAGGAAGCAAAATAGAAAACGTGCTGCTGTTGAGGAGTGGGGTCTCAAGGTGGGATGGTGGGGGAGCCCCCACTACGTTATTGTTATTGCTGGCACCATTGTGCCCTCAGAAAGGGCAGTGCTGTGGATACAGGGGGGACGGGAAGGGGCAGTACTGTGGATACAGGGGGGACGGGAAGGGGCAGTGCTGTGGATACAGGGGGGACGGGAAGGGCAGTGCT